CGAAACCAGAGTCAGTCGCTTTCATGCCTTTCGCCACCTGCGATTCCTGAAGGTCCTCGCCATACTGACAGACGATATTAGCCTGCTTCAATACCAATTAATGAATCAGTGTACTCACCTTTACGAAACTGCCTTTATAACCTCTGACCAAGAACTTGAGCGGAAGCTTCATCGGACTGACAACCGTAGTCTTCACCGTAACAACCAAATGCTTCAACTCGCCACCGTACTGCAGGATGACGGTAAAGGTGTCATCAGTTTTGCTCTCCACGCCCCTCAGACTGCGATAGAAGGCCGTGACGGACTTGGGGCGTCCAAACAGCAGCAGAGCTTGATCGATAGTATGACTGCCCAGCCCATAGAGCATGCCGTTGCCGGGCTCATAATCGGGAGATGTCCAGCCGCTGATCCACGAAGGGAAGTCGACATCGTAATGGATCTCGCATTCGGTTATGCGGCCGAAGGCGTCGGCGTCCACCAGCTTGTGGAGAGTGCGGAAGTCGGAATCGTAGCGGCGATCTATGCAGTGGTTGAGCGATTCGGAGTGGTGTAGAGGAAAGCGCTAAGAGGGCACTTACTCTGGAAGACCGTTAGGATCTTGCCTGTTTCTTTTGCGAGCGCGATGAGACGGTCGGCGTCAGGGACGGATATCGTGAATGGCTTCTCCACAACCACTGGCGGTGGAAGGTCAGCATATTATGTGTATATGGGATACATGCGCCGTACCGTGTTTCCCAGCTTTCAAAGCCCGCTCTGCGAACTCAGCATGCGTGTCATGGTGTGTGCAGACACAAACGAGGTCGATCTTCTCGTCTCCGAAGAACTCGTCGGGCGTGCGGTAGTGCTTGGCCTTAGGATAGTCCACAGTGCAATGTTTGCCGGGTTCAACACCAGAAGGATTGCTTGGAGCTTCTGCTCGTTGCAAGAATGCGTAGACATTAAGGTCCGGATTGGGGAGGATAAATGGAAGGTGGAAGCTCTTGGTGGAGAAGCCGTAGCCCATCAAACCTACATTGAGTGGCGCCATGATAGTATCAGGTATAGCAATGGAGAGATTGTCAACATACTACGTTCATTATGGAAGTCTTTATTAGCTTCGCACGTAGGTACACATGCGGACTGCGGAGCTCCAGATACGGCAATGGTCCTCTTGCCGGCTATTCAGGCTAAAGTGCATTCGAGGACGTACCTTTACACTTACTTACAGAATACACAGGCGCACTTGTAGCGCATCAAAACGTACAGTACGTTTTAAGCCCAGTGGAAAGCTGCATTCATGCTTTGGTACAGACTTGCTTAGATTCGAATGGTGTTATGCTGTTGGAAGTCAGGCATCGTAGCGAGGGTGCGAGAGGGGTTGACATTGTGGGAGTAGACATGTCAGTAGTCTATGCCACGAGTAAAGCGGACTGAGAGTGGGTATGGGTTGGTTACGGGGCGAGTGAGAGATTGTATAAACTGGTTGAGTGTCCCCTTATACATCACTACCTCATCGTCTCGCTTTCGCGCCGCTACCAGAATTGCTCGACGTATCGCTTGACTTCCCGGCCAAGAATGAAGCGAGGTCAAAGTTCTGAATCGAAGCAGCCGCGCCCTCGGCGCCAGTCACAGGGCTCTTCTTCTGCATCTCCTCAAACTCCGCGCGAGTCTCTGGATCCATGTTGTCCATCAGATACGGCATACCGAAGATCAGACCGACAGATCCCAAAGCCATGAGGATCATGGGACTCTTCAGGAAGCTGAGAATGCTGACTATGAGGATTGTGTCAGTTTGTGTACCAGATCATGAGTTCGCTTTGGTGAGAGTTATATAGACTTACAGCCTCCCCTCTCTTGGTAGAATTCTTTCCGCGAATTCGGCTGGAGGTTGACAGAAAGCTCCTTCTTGCCCTCGCCAAACTTCGGTCCTTTGTTGCTCCACTCGTTGGCCCTGAATGTCTGCCAAACTTCCACTAGCTTTTCTCTTGGGCTCTCATCGAGTCCGGCCTCCTCTGGGGAAACGTCTACCCGGAATGGTGGGAAGCTGTAGTCGCGAGTGTATATGTTGAGCAGATAACTGCCTTCTGAGATATCGCTAAAGACAAGGCTGTTCGATGGAGATATGCGGGTGTGGTAGAACACGCCCGGGGCGCCCTGGAGTGTAGCGTGTGTTGATGCGGGCAATGTTGCGGGATTGGGTAGGAGAGACGAAGGCGGGATGTTGACGGTGAGTTTCGCAGCTTGTGCAAGAGGCGCGAGGCAGAGCAGCGCACTCTGTATGCTCTGAAAGAACCTCATCTTGGATGTTACGGTAGTTGTAATGGTATCTTGGCTGTTCGGGGACCCTCAAGGTTGACGACGAGGGAGCTTGGATGATGGACGTGGCTTGGCGTGAACCTGACCATCGACGCTCGAGAAGCCTCTCTCACACCTTCAGACTACACATCAGATTGTGGAAGCATGCATTGCTGCAGAATTGAATTTCATATTACCGAAGCTCAACTTTATCCCTTATGGTTTGTTGCCCTATATTGTATGTACCATCCAACTCTCTGTTCTATGGAGGACCAATTCCGCTAGAGTAAATAATCGTACCTACTTTCTCGCACCACTTTTGCTGCGGAAACATACCTGCCTTCGCAAAATATTTCGTCGCGAACCCCAAAGGGACGAACAGAGAGAAGCGACCGGTAGATCCTGCCGCAGGCTGACAGCACCACGGTACCGCCTGACACATGTTTATGACATGCTGGAACAGGTCGCGATGAATCTGCATAACTGGCTTTGAGCATGGCACATCCCTGTATCTACCCTTGATTTTGAGGATCTCCGCATACAGGAAGCATAGGCAGGTCCAATATATCAGGTGTAGATAAGCCACGCCGAAGCCCGGAAATTTATAGGCGTGTTCGAAAGTTGTATCGTCGCCGAGAATGGTCTTCATGTAGGGAAATCGTTCCATCGCTACTACAGTGAAACCGCTGCGAACTAGCCATGAGCTCCAAGAGTTGTGCCAGCGATCGATTTTACCAGCCAACGCAAGCATGTCTTCGATCAGTTTTGCTGCGTCGCTATGCTGATCAGAGCTTGTTAAATCGTCGGCCCGCTCAAGAAGACCAGGAACTTCCGTAGCCAGGTCCAACAGCAAGGTCATGCCGTCCACTTTTACGGCGCTTCTAGAGATTTGCACCCACTTCGGATCATCGAATACCGATCTCTTGCGATGGGAGACTCCACGTACGAACTGCAATCTGTCAGCACGGATCAGTCAACAGCAAGCATGCAGCAGCATACAAGAAGGTTCCTAGCGTGATGAAACAGCATAAGATCAATCTCCGTACGTAAAGGCTTTGGCCCTCTCTGCAGGTAGAATTGGGCAAAGCCATCTATATGTACCAGCCAGCTGCCTTCCTTGTGTATATGTTTGTAGAACTAAGCTGCCATTAGCACAGATCATCTCATGGGACATGCTGACATCGTTGCATGGTGGGGTCTTACCTCGCAAAATCCCAAAAGGAAAGCTGCGCCCAACAAGTCATCATTATGCGCCGCGTCCGGCTTGGAGAGAGCTTGCGCAAGAGCTGCCAGCGCAACACCATAGCGGCGCCGCGATTCGTACAGCAAACGCTCATCGTTATGTGAGGTTCCGATCTGTACAAGGCAGAGGCTGTCCAGGGCGGCTTGCAAAGCGGGTTCACGAGACGGTAGAAAGTGTCTGGTAGTGCTCATATGAGAGAAATGGTCGATTGCTCCCCTCGCCTCATCTCTTGGCACCATGAGGTTGATGAACAGGCTGAATGCTTGGGCACGCTCTAAGACCGGGCTGGCTATTTCGAGCAACCCAGGCCCGCGAATGCAATGCTCGCCCTTAAACAGTACGACAGCATCTTCGGAAGCGGAAGTGGACTGAGGCGTGACAGCAGTAGAGGAGCTTGACCCGGAAGTCGGTGCTGAACTCTTTCTACGGCTGATCTTCGAGTCTTTCCGAGCCTTTGCCTTGTTCACCACATGCTGAGTCTGGTCGCGGATTTCGACACCTCCGCGCTGTACCTGTCGGTAGCCTGGACATAATACGCCATGTGTGGCACATTTCTGGCATGCCGGCCACGTCTCATCGCACTGTAACCCGCAGTTAGCCAGCTGTGCTTGGGCACGCGAGGCATGCAGTTCAACAATTACCCTTATCTTTCTGCGGCGGCAGGTCGCGCATCCTGTCGAACGCAGTGGCATCTAGGTACATCAAGTCAGAGCATCGAAGACGGGTTCCATGTCAATGTCGGTATCGTCTTCAGATGAACTTGTGGTGGCGCAGTCTGCGGTTGTCCGTTGGATGTCCTGAATCCTACTGGTCCCGATTTGGTTTAGTGTTGACCCTGAGTCGCCGAAAGTGGTTCCAGGCCGCAGCTGAGGCAGTCGGGTGCTAACTTACATCGCAACTTCCTCGTTATCCTGCAAATGAACACTGTCAAACACAGTCTAGAAGTTGTTCTTTCCTAGATAGACAGAGCCCGACTTAACGTAGTACAACTGGGTTAGTCTGTTCATAGGTCACTTAGACCGAGAGACAACCAGTGTACAGTACATAATGCAGGTAGGTAAGTAGGTCCAGAGTGTTTGCTCAAGGTAATGGTCGGCAGGCATCATCTTCTTTACAATCGTCTGGGCAAGTCAAGCAAGCGTGTGTGCGATTTTCTTCTCTTATTCCCCTTCATTTTGGGTGTATGGGTGTATAAAATGAGTGCCTGCAATGGGCTGGCATGGAACGGGTTCTTGCATACATGTGAGGCGGTGGTTTGCATGATCTGAACCTGGACATCTAGCCAGCCACCGAATCACACTTTCTAGACAGTTGTACTGCACGCATACGCGACGTGTCTTGCAACCATTCTATACGTCCTTCACTTCAACGTGTCTTCCGCGGTGCATCGAGACAGCAAAGACGCGATCTCACACCCTCAGGCCCTCCTTGTACAAAGAGCGTCGGCCCTCATATCCTTCCTATTCACCGGACGCAAAAAGGATGCAGTGGGTGGGGATTGAACCCACGATCTTTGCTTGGGAGAGCGCCCCGTCTTCTACACAGTGTCCACCAGGACGTGCTGAATGTGCGAAGACTCGCCTGTGGGAAAGCAACGTCTTAACCACTTGACTACCACTGCTGGTTCTTCTTGGAGCAGAAGGAATATTGTATTGTATGAATAGATCGAAGGTTTGGGAACGGGCACGAAGCATGTGATGGGGTGACGGGGTGAAGGGGGCACGGGCTGTTGAGGTTCATGGAAGGGGTGAATGCAGGCAGCCGGCGGCTGATACAGATGCGGCAGAACTCAGTCACAGCGTGAACACGAACGAAAGCAGGGTCAGTATAAGACATTGGTGTCGATGAATGCTAGCTAAATGCTAAATGCTCCCCTCCACATGCATGCAAACGCAAATGGTATCAGCTATGACTTGGACTCCTTCCCGGAAAATGGTATCTTTTCTCTCTTAGTAGCCCGCTTAAATGCACGATCGAAACAATCGCACAGATCTCGCCCGCCGAATGCACATGAATATCTCTTAACCTCTGGCCTGCTGGACGAATCCAACGAAAAACTTCCTGAAATCCTTCGCATCCGTGCCCGCCTCCAAGCGTCTCACATACTCCTCAACAGCATCTCCTTGCAACCCCATCCCGCTCAATTCATTCTTCAGATGAACTTCGTACTCCTGACCTGTCTTGCGCAGGATAGTCCATTGCAGCGTCGCTGCCTCACCGAGGACAGTCCTGGCCTGCGCATCTTTCGGGTTGAAGGATGGGTTGCTAAGGAGCGCCCATGCAAGACCTGAGAAACGTTGGATGATGAAAGAGTCAAAACCTGCGAGCGTGGGCGCTGGCGGCTGTGGAGACCCGGCTACCGGAGGGATGGTGAGGTCTGGACCACCCCAGACTTGAGTCATACGGATGAGGACGGAGAAGGCGAGACGAGCGTTGGGGTAGTCGTTGATGTCGCGGGTAAAGTGCTCGACAGATGTCAGGAGAGGTTCGAAGGTGGCCTGGTTGGCCTCGCTAACGAGGACAGTGCTAAGATCGTTGTTAAGGATGATGAGGATGAAGTTAAGATATTGTTGCTTAAGTTCAGCAAGTTGAATCTCGTCATCAGTTCCGCTAGTCGGTTCAGAAAGACCCGCAAAGACACGCTGGAGCAGCGGCGAGAGGAGCTGGTCCAGGATGGAATAGATCTCTGACTTGAAGCCGAAGACCACTTGATCCAGGAGACGGAGGAACGTCGCCATTTCATCTTTCGTCGAGGTCTGGGCCAGCAGGCCGTCGATCCAGTTGGGCAATTGTTGCAGGATGCGGGAGCCCAAGACCCCAAGCATGCGAGAGAAGGCGAAACGAGCAGCCGTTCGGATGAGCATTGAATGCTTCAAAGACTCCAGTGCAGAGAGGATTGCCTCGCTCGCGCCAACGAACTCAGCTGAGAGTTCGGGTGGTGGAGGTCCGCCGGTGGCGCTGCCTGGCATCCAATCAGAGTAACCTTTAGCCAACGTACCGATCGCCATCAGGAGGTGGTGCACTTGGAGCAGTGCCTGCTCGTTGCCGCTCTTCGCCGCCTCGAGGTTTTGTTGAAGGTCCGCAATAAGAGGACCCAAGACGGAACGGGCATAAAGAACGCGGGTTTCCAGGGGTACAGACGAAGTCGAGGCGACGCATCCAACAGCCTCAAAGAGGTATAATTGGCTGGCGAATTTAGCGTCAGCGGACTGATCATTCTCATCAGATGACATGTCATCGTCCGCAGTATCCTCTGGCAGCTCAGCCTTGATGATAAGGAGGTCCCCAACAGCCTGTATCACCGTCTCTGAAACGTTTCCAAGTTGGGACCTAAGGTGCTTGACGAAGCGATAGAACAGGTACCACGACCGAGTGCGTACTTTGACGTGGTCGCTGTGAACGAAGCGGACAAAGTTCTCAAGTACTCTGGGTATGTGCCCCTGGTTGTGTTCGAAATAGGCGCAGTATCTGACACAGATCTCCATGTACTGAAGTTGGATTGCTGGATGTGGGTAGGAAGCGAGATCTGTTGAGGTCAGCAGTATACTTGGGGCTTCGAAATGGAGCTATCTTACCAGACTCAACAAGTTTGGACATCATCTCCACAAGGTACTGAGACGCCTGGCTCGTAGGCGTAGTCTTCTGATACAGCCCCCCGTTCTTGACGGCAAGCTCACCAAAAAGGTACATCTCGTGAAGTGCCAAGTCTAGATCCCGCCAGTTAAGCTTGTCGTCCATCGGGCTGAGGCGACTGAAGGTACTGGCAACCACATGACTGAGAGTCTCCATGTAAAGTGTTTCGTTTACGGCGGCGACAGTCTGTTGCAGCACGTGTAACCTCTTCCGCAGCTCCTGGAACTCGGCTTCATCGGTCTGCTCATCTTCCTCACCCCACTCAGCAGTGTCATCGTATTTCATCTTGACAATGATGGTATCCAATATCGGTTGCAGCATGCCTGAGTAATGCGCTGGGAGACCTCCCCGAGCCTTGACGTATTTCCGGAACATGGTGAGCAGATCAGTCAAGCCTGGGATGACCGCAGAACATATCTCGTCGTATTCGTCAGAGAAGAATCGTAAGAGGTAAGGGACAAATGTCTGAAGCAAATCATCCGCTCTGGACCTAACGTTCTCGGCCACACCATCGGTGTCCAACACCTTGACTATGTCAAAGACGACATTGTTGACTAGCTTAGCAACAGTCTCACCCAGATCTGTATCATAGTTCGAAGTGGACCGCCATTCGGACAATGCAGGCGTTGCGATGAGCTGTCCAACAACATTGCCGAGGTTGAGGAAATAAATCAATTCCACCTTGTCAGCAGCAGGCATCTTCTTGCCCACAGTCTCCGTGAAAGTATCAATTGCAGAGTCTCGTACGCGTCCCTCTTTGCTCTCGGACGACCCGGCAATCTGTTGGCCAGCGAGTTGCAGCAGGCTGTTCAGCATGTTCTCGTTGACGACGAGCGAGATATCTATCCAGCTGACCCATCTACTAACATCTTTCAGGCAAATCTCAACAATGCCGAGGTCAATCTCCCGCCACCGTGACAGAATCTCCTGCCATGATACAGCAATCTTGGCCGCGTCCCTTGCTCTTACAAGATCCTTCAACTCTGTGTTGCGCTTCTGCTCTTCTGGAGTTCTGGGGATGAGAACATCCGCAATCTCGTCATGGACAGATCCTAATATCCTCAGATACATTGTAGTAGCATGTGGGTTCGCCGAGCCAATCACGCTTGCATCGCCGGCTAAGCTTCGAAAGTCGTCGAAAAAGGATGTCCAGCTGGAGGCGTATAGAGAAGTGAAGAGATATGTGAGGGTCTGCGTAAGCTTGTTCTGTATGTTGGGTAGGTCAACTTGGGTACTGCCTGCCGCGTATCGCTGCTGGATGTATGCCATCAAGTTGTCCTTAACGAAGCCCAAACTTTGCTCATCCAGACGCTGGGTCTGGACGGCATTGTTGACTACCTCCAAGCATACATGTCGAACAACCTCCTGAGGCGAAGGGTCCCTTGTGAAGAGTGTTAAGCAGACTTGCCAGCCTTGAGGATCTTCCCGGAGCTGGTTGAGAAAGGTGTAGGCCTGAGACTTGAGGTTTTGGTCCGTTTGCGGATTGAACGCGATCTCAATGGCATTCTCCACCTGGAGTAGTATCCGTCAGTGGTCTGGATTAAAGCGGAGAGACGTGTGGAGAGCGCGGCGCATCTGACATCCAGACCGGCAAATTGCATACCTGCGCATCCATCATCCACCACCAACTGCACCCGCAGGACTAAAGTAATTGACTGCTCTTTGTCCCTGAACTCTTGCTGGGTTCTCTTTATTGCCTTATGTGCGACCAGCGCTATTTGCCCGGAAGATGCCTAAGATTGTAATCGAGTCGTATGTGTTGTCTCAGGTTGGTACGTGATTACGCCATGTTGGACAAGCGAATCACAACCGAGGGTAAGGCAAATAGGCGTGTAGCAGTATGCGGACTGTGGGGCAGCAAGATATGTGCGTGCTTGTGAATGCTGATTGTTGTTACCGTAGCTGCTCTGGATGAATCCAATATTTCTCAAAGCCGAGGGGTCGTGTGACGGCAGCTTCGCTGTCACTGTCCCTGACGCACTGCCAAGAGCAATTCAATACCACAGCACAATCACGCAAATGGAGCTCTGGTATCAAATTGCTGTCTATTGAATAAGACATGATCTCGCTTTTACTTTAGATCCTCAAGCAAGTGCTCGACGTACACTGTCAGCACATTGAGTCTATATGGTGACCCCTCTCTCACCGCCTCTAAAGGGTCCATTCTCTGTGTCCAGCATTAGCTTGATGCTCTCCATAATGCTAAGGTACCATGGCGGATCACTCTGAAGAGCAAAGGCAGACACATCATCATGGTTAGCCATCAATTCAAAAGAAATACATTTCATAATCTGGTATCTGTTACTTTGCAGCGCGAGAGGTATACATTCGAAACCCGCCTGCTCAACTCAACTCAAAGCAATAAACACGCACCATACAACATTAAGGAGACCGTAGCTGCTCCTGCACCCTTGTGATCGACGCCATACCTGTACAAAAGAAAACAACGCCCACATAGCTAAGTCAAGCAAGCCGTCACAATCGACCTCAGAGTAGAGAGGCGTGGCTGGGTAACGATGCTCTCGTAAAGCCCTCTCCCTGTAATCTCAGGAATTCTGTTCCCATCAACCTCCGTTCATTCCATCCTCAATCTCTTGGCTTCTACTTCAGCGTCGTCCTAAGAAGCAACCTCGACCCCTCTCTTCTCGCCCAAGGTGTCCGTCCGCCTGGTGAAGACGGCATCCTGGCCGCTCATCCTGCGGCCCAATGCGCGATCCAGCTTCGCACCCAGCGCCAGCATGCTGACCTCGTCGCCCTTCTTGCCGCTCATGACGTAGCGTTGGCGATCGAGCCGCTCATCTTGCATGCGCTCGAAGCCCGCACTCCAGCTCTTGATGTCTGCGTCGCGCGCATCGGTGCTGTTAAGAGTAGCGCTAGAACCAGTAGCGTCTGCTTGCTCGTAGCTCATCTTCTCGTTGACGTCGTAGGTCGTGTTCGAGGCGGTGAGGTGGGCGGATTGTCTAGCGTTGGAACGTGGAGACTGGTGGT